TTGATAACAGTCCCACCCTGAACACGTCTACATGACAATATTCAGACATAGTGATAGTGGTAACAGGAAGTATCACGTTTTATACTTTCATGTTCTACTCCTCGCAGGATCATCAGATCCAGCTGAAATTTACTTATAAAATGCAAAACACATTGTTGATGATATGTGTTGACTGTGGTGAGGGGGCGTGTCTGTGGGGTGGCGGGAAATTTTGATGGACCGCCACAAAACACAAATTCGCTGTAACTTGAGTGTACATTGTCCAATCAGCTCCACACTTCAAATGCTTGATAACAGTCCCGCCCTGAACACGTGTACATGACAATATTCAGACATAGTGATAGCGCCATCTGCTGGCAACAGGAAGTAAGTGCTGCGTGGCGATTTTGCGCTGATTAATGGCAGATTTTCATGTTGTGGTCCGCACGTGTTACGACGGCATGCGACGCGGCCACAGCACGCCCCGAGTTGCGTGGAGTGCGAGGTCCCGCCCAACGCTGCTTGCGGCTTTAATTATTATTATTATTGTTTCCTCTAGGATTTTTTTTAGCAGTGGGGGCAGGCCCGTCTGAACTATGAACTGAACTATTATTATTATTGTTAGGAACTGAGCCAGCAACCGCTGGGAGGTCCCTATTGTTTTTGCTATGTTTCTTATTAGGGACCGAGCACTGACCAGTTCAAGGCCCTATTGTAATTGAAGGAATTATTATTAGGGCCCGAGCACAAATCGTGCGAAGGTCCTATTGCATCTGCAAAGATTATTAGGGCCTGAGCACTGACCGTGCGAATGCCCTATTGTAATTGAAGGAACTCTTCTTTATCTTTTTCTTATTTTTCCTCCTAAACAAACGCATATTTGGAAGCTTTTCCGTGCTCGATAACTCATGAAACGCGGCGCACATGTCAGTCATGGCGAATATTCCCCCTCAGGGGCCCATAAACTGTACCACCCGGGGCCCCTTTCATCGATATGCATAAAAACACGCGGCACACGTAGATCTTATCCAAACGAACAAAAAATCCAGTGGGCGCCATATCCCAAACCCAACAGGAAGCAAGCCATTTTGGATTTAGCGGCCATTTTTGCCGATATGCACACGTTGTATTTGAATGAACTCCTCCTAGGGAATTGGTCGGATCGACTTCAGATTTGGACACAGCTATCTAAAGACATTCACAATTAAAAGTTGGGCTATCTATGACATTCCGTCAAACAGCGTACACGTGGCGTGGAATTTCAACAACTCGCCATGAAAGAGGGATTTGTCATAACTTCTGCATCCGATCTCAACAAAACTTCACGTTTGATAAGAGTCTCGCCCTGACCACATCTATGTGATAATATTCAGAAATAGTGAGAGTGCCACCTAGTGGTGAAAGGAAAGGTAATTTTTTATACTTCCATGATGATCAGATCCAGCTGAAATTTAGTCGGGAAATGCAAAACATGTTGTTGATAATATTTCATGATTGTGGTGAGTTTTTGTTAAAGGGCGTGTCTGTGGCGTGGCATCAAATTTTGATGTTCTTCCAGAATACACGAAATTGCTATCACTTGAGTGTACATTGTCCAATCAGCTCCAAACTTTACTTGTCCGTGGTCATTTTTCACGTTGTATATGAAGGAACTCCTCATAGGGGACAAATTGGACAGTACAATCAAAAAATATTGCTAATTAAAAGTTGTGCTATTTGCAACTGTATGTTGAAGGGCCTGTCTGTAGCGTGCCGTCAAACCAGGTTGAATTGAATGTCAAACTGATGCCATTTCCGGCATTTCAGGGCTTCTATTTATAACTCCTCCTACAGATTTTATCAAATTGACTTCAAATTCAATCACTGCAATCCAGACACATTGGTGATCAAAAGTTAATCAAATATTTACTGTGTGTCAAAAGGCGTAGAGGTTCGCTATGAATGCATAAGTCTTTTGAACGGTGTCTGAAACACGTGACAATGTAGAGCGGTCTCCCTCAGCTTCCGGCGATGAGGGCTTGGGCATGGGGTGACGTGGCTTGGCGCAACTGCGGCGGGAGACCGCCGTGCAGGCCCTGACGTAGGTTGATGGCGAGGTCCCGCTCAATGCTGCTTGCACCTTTAATTATTATTTCTACAACAGTTACTATTATTAGGGCCCGAGCACTGACCGTGCAAAGGCCCTATTGTAATGGAAGAAATTATTATTTTTCTGCCACTTTGATCGCATATTTGGAGGCTGCAACATGCTTGAAAACTCATGAAATGCGGCGCACATGTCAGTCGTGGTGAAAAATTTCGTATTTTCTAGGGGTCTACTATGAGCATGGCAAAATGGCCCCTCAGGGGCCCATAAAGTGTACCATCCGGAGCCCCATTCACCGATATGCATAAAAATTGGCACACTCGTAGATCCTATACAGACGAACAAAAAATTCAGTTGGAACCATATCCCAAACCCAACAGGAAGTCGGCCATTTTGGATTTAGCAGCCTTTTTTGGCGGTTTGCACACGTTGTATTTGAACGAACTCCTCCTAGGGAATTGATTGGAACAACTTCAGATTTGGATGTCTTTTAGCCATCTAAAGACATTCTTGATTAAAAGTTGTGCTATTTACGACATTCCGTCCAACAACGACCCTGTGCTGTGGCGAGCAATTTCAACGACTCGCCACGAAAGAGGGATTTGTCATAACTTCTGCGTACATGATCCGATGTCAACGAAACTTCACATGTTTGATAAGAGTCCCGCCCTGAACACGTCTATGTGATAATATTCAGTAATCGTGAGAGCGCCACCTAGTGGTGAAAGGAAATGTCGTTTTTTATACTTCCATGTTCTACTCCTAGCAGGATGATCAGATCTAGCTGAAATTTAGTCAGGAAATGCAAAACATGTTGTTGATGATATTTCGTAATTGTGTTGAGTTTTGGTCAAAGGGCGTGTCCGTTGCATGGTGTCAAATTTTGATATACTGCCAGAACACACAAAGTTGCTATAACTTGACTGTACTTGACTTGTCCAATCACCTCCAAACTTCGCTTGCCTGATAAGAGTCCCACCCTGAACACTTCTATGTGATAATATCCACTAATAGTTAGAGTGCCACCTAGTGGTGAAAGGAAATGTCATTTTTATACTTTTATGTATATCTTCCAGCAAATTAACCAGATCCAGCTGAAATTCTGTCAGAAGTTCCTTAGGACGAAGACATTTTATGAATCTTTAGAAATTGCGTGCAACCTTGTTGCCATGGCGATGCAGCGAAAATCAGCTTTTCTGTTAACATTTGAACACTTTTTGGATGGCTAAACATGCCCAAAAACTTTGCACAAAATTCAGTCATGGCGATGGCTAAGGTGTTGTTTTGGTCCCCTAGATGGGTGTTGCAAAATGGATTAGCCACGCCCCCCAGAATTAGCCCCCAAGACACGTATGACTGATATGTATGGAAATTGGTACACATTAGGGCTGTAACGGTTCTGAAACCGAAATCGCGACACAACAGTCCACGGTCTCGTGTCGCGGATCCGAGAGTCAGAACCGTGACACACTCGCTCCCTGGACTGTTGAGCTCTCGTTAAGACAGTGTAACTGCGGCGGTGGCGGCGGCCCGTGGGGTGGTAGCGGTGTACGCCTATATCATATTTGTATTGACAGTAGGTTATTCTAGGTAATTTTCCACCTTATTTTAGTGTTTATTTACTACGTTAATCTGCTCCCTTTCTCTTCTCCCCACACTCACACACAGCACACACACCTAGCCTGGACCTCTGGTCACTCACGGCAAACACGCCTGCTTGCTCCGTCTCTTTCTGTCTCTCTCTCCCTGTGTGTGTCTCTGCTGACTTTCTCCATCCGCATTACATTTCAGAAACTGACCCGTGATTCAGTTTTGAAGTGCGCTGCATGTGGGTCCAAACCGAAACTAACGTTAGTGAGTGACATCTGCAGTCCGTAATGTAAGATTTCTGCCGTGTCAACTTAATGTAATATCAGAAAACAAATAAAACGGGGGAAACCGCGGTATGGACCGAACCGTGGCTAAAAAATCAAGGTCTGAACCGAACTGTGGATTTGGTGAATCATTACACCCCTAGAACACATGTGTATCATGATGGGACAAGCAAAAAGCCCTCTTGGACCCATAACCCAAACACAACAGGAAGTCGGCCATTTTGAATTCCGTGGTCATTTTCGGCAATTTGCACACATTGTATTTGAACGAACTCCTCCTACAGAATTTATCGGATCAACTTCAAATTTACTCAGCGCAATCTAAAGACATTCATGATTAAAAGTTGTGCTATTTACGAAATTCCGTCGAACGGTGTGCCCATGGCGTGGTGTCAAATTTCGATGATTCGCCATGAAAAAGGAAGTTGATCACATGATCTCAATGAAACTTTAGTATAGTAGTATAGTGAAAACAGGAAATATCACGTTTTATACTTATACTTTTATAGAGAGAGAGAGAGAGAGAGACAGTCAGGTGCACAGCAACAACAGTATTGGCAATGGCAATCTAGCAGGACCATGGCAGGAGGCTCCACCAGGATCGATATGAACCTGTGAGACGAGAAAGCACAAGAACTCCGGTTAAGAAGTGAAGTTAGTAACATGAATTAATGGGACATGAATGAGTGCAGAAAGAGAGAGGAAGAGAGGAGCTCAGTGCAGTTCAATATCAATGCCATATGAAAGAACGAGGTCAAGAGTGTGATTAAAACAATGAGTTGGTTTATTTACACTCTGACAGAAGCCAATTGAGTCTATTAATGATATAAATGCATTACTAAGGCTGTCATTGTTAACATCCACATGAATATTAAAATCACCCACAATAATTACTTTATCTGATTTAAGGACTAAACTTGATAAAAAGTCTGAGAATTCAGATATAAAATCTGCACTGAGCTCCTCCCTTCCTCTCTCTTTCTGCACTCATTCATGTTCCATTAATGCATGTTACTAACTTCACTTCTTCCTCGGAGTTCTTGTGCTTTCTCGTCTCGCAGGTTCTTGTCGATCCTGGTGGAGCCTCCTGCCATGGTCCTGCTAGATTGCCATTGCCAATACTGTTGTTGCTGTGCACCTGTCTGTCTCTCTCTCTCTCTCTCTCTCTCTCTCTCTCTCTCTCTCTCTCACCCCAACTGGTCGAGACAGACGACCACCCACCTAGAGCCGGAGGATCTGTCCTAGGTTCCTGCCTTTTAACAGGCAGTTTTTCCTTGCCCTTGTCGCCAAGTGCTTGCTCATGGTGGTACTGTTGGGTCTCTGTAATTCATGTTTTAAAGAGTTCGGTCTAGACCTGCTCTATTTGAAAAGTGTCCTGAGATAACTTCTGTTATGAATTGGCGCTATACAAATAAAATTGAATTAAAACGCTCGAATCATATATGGCTGCTACTCCACCTCCTTGGCCAGTGCCTCGAGGAATGTGAGTATAAATATGACTGGGGGGATGGATTCATTTAGGCTAACATACTCCTCGTGGGACAACCAGGTCTCAGTAAGACAAAGTAAATCAATATCATAATCTGATATTAATTAATTCACTAAAACAACTTTTGAAGACAGAGACCTGATATTTAACAGCCCACATTTCATTCTCTTATTTTGTGCTACTGAGGAGTTGGTTTTAATTTTTATTAGATTTTTATGTTGAACTCCTCTTGTTTTTATTTCTTTAAATAATTTAGGTGGTCGGGGGACAGACACAGTCTCTATGGGGTTTTGGGTGTGTGACTGTTCTAAAGAAAGCGCAGAGAAGTTTGTAAGACAGCAGCTCTGCTTCCTGGTCCCAACTCTGGACTGTCAGGTTTTAGAAATAAACTTTGCCATATTTCTAGATAAGAGAGCCGCTCCATCTAAAGTGGGATGGATGCCGTCTCTCCTAATCAGACCAGGTCCCCCCCCAAAAAAAAAAAAAATCAACATCACATTAGTTATCCAGTACGAGCATGTTTACAGGGATTTGAAAGCAGTGTTTAAAAGACTAATAAAGTGGTCAATATAAATTTCTAATTTACTAATAAGGTATTTGAGTGATTACTGAACACAAAGTCTTTGTTAAGTTCTTTGTTTGAGTGATAGCTAAATTAAGAGCTACATATTAATCCTCCTCAGACACTCCCTGTGGTTTATGCCATGCTGAAGCAGGAAGTGAATGATGACACTGAGTGCTGGGCAGTTTGTCTCCTGCACTAATCATCACCACTGTGTCGCATGTGTCTTAGCAGCCCAGTTTTCCATCTGAGAGAACCAGAGGATGAAATATGGTGGGTGAGTCTCTCCTCAGCCCCAACTCAGCTGCCACTGAGGTGGGGTGTCTGACAAGCATAAATTATGTTAATAGAATTTAATAAAAAACACTTTATTCCAAAGGTTTCAGTACTTTGAAATGTCAAGATGATCTAGTGTGCTACCTGGAGAGAATTCTGAAGCTTAAGTTAGAACACTAAAATATTAAAACAAGAAATTGTGATCCCTCATGAGAAATGGCAGAGCGCGATGAAAAATGGAGAATGCACAAGTGTGTCTCCCAGTTGGAGTTTTCTCCATTTATTAATTGATCTGAGTGCTGAATCTAGTCTTCCATTATGGCTCAGTATAATGAAGAAGATATTAAACAGATTTAGGAATATTTTAATGATTTTTTTTTTGTCTTTTTTGTCAATTTCACTCTGTAATTTACAATCATACTGTCCTTGTTATCTAAAAACACCAAAATTGTAATTAAGTAAGAAATTGGGCTTTTGTGTTAAGTTTAGTGATTAGTAATGACAGTCCATTGAAGAGTGGAATTATCAGAAAATGATTCTTGTGAATACAAAAAACACTTTTGTGTGCCATCTCCCCATTCCCCAGCCCTCTCAAACACACACACACACACACACACACACACACACACACACACACACACACACACACACACACACACTCTCTCTCTCTCATACACACAATAGAAAAGTAATGATGGTGAGACTGTAAATTATCCACTGCTGGTTGTTAATTGAACATTTCCATTGTTACCATGACAAACTGCCTATTGATTGGCCACTGGTGCTTCCACCATTTATAGGATACAGACTGACAGAGGGGCCTGCAGTTTAGAAAGGGGACTGATGTGAGGAAGGACAGAAGGAGGGGAAAAGGCTAAAACAATAAAATAAGTGAGAAAAGTAAGAAAAGCCTCGTAAATGGAATGAAAAAGAGGATCAGGAGGTGGGGGAGTAAAGTTGGTTGCTTGGCCATGGTGTTCAATTACAGCATGCGGGAGGTTAAATCAATAGCATTTAAATTGCTTATGGTAATCACCTGCTCTCCAATCACTAGGATCAGCATAAGCAATCTGCTGACCCCAGCCTCGCACAGCCACAGATTGAAACATATGAAGAGGAGTCAGTTGACTGGAAGGGTCAACCTGGATTTTGTGTGTGTGTGTGTGTGTGTGTGTGTGTGTGTGTGTGTGTGTGTGTGTGTGTGTGTGTGTGTGGAGTGTGTGTGTGTATACACTTCATACACATACGTGTGAATGTGGGTTTGGATACACACCTGGTCTCATGACATATTTTTAAATGAGTAAGATGTCTTAAAGCCAGGGTAGGTACTGTATTTCAAAAGCATTTTTGTTATGGTTGTTGAAATAATTTTTACATCCAGACAGACATTTTAGAATGTTAGTGCCGCACCAGTGGCAGCTAGTCACAATAGCTCTTAACTTTGTGGATCTTTTTAGTGTTTTTTATAGTGTTTAGTGTTTTTAGTGTACTTTTTTTTTAATATATAGTGCTTTAGTGTACTTTTTGTTGCTCACATGACAAACTTTAAGCAAGTGTGAAGCTATGGATGCACACTTAACCACAGCTCCTTTGTTTACACCCGGGATCAGCTGTTGGCCCTGTGCCACACACCCCTTCCCTGTGCGGAGCAGCTGGAGATCATGTTTACCGCCTGTCATCATGGGGAACGTAAGATGGAAGAACTAACGGCGCTAACCCGGCTGCAGAGGGAGTACCGGGAATGCAGCCTCATGTGCTACACAGAGACGTGGCTGAGTGAACTTTCTTCTGACTCTCACGTCACCCTGGACGGATTTCAAGTTGTACGGGCGGACAGTTTGCCAGCCTGGTATTGGGGTGGACGACGCAGTAATCTACCTGCTGCACAGATCCCTGCTACACCTGGAGGACAGCGGGAGCACCTTGAGGGTCATGTTTTTTTACTTCTCCAGTGCAGCCGTCACTGCTCAGAGGGAAGATGGAAAGTGTGGGAGTGGACCAACAACTGGCTGCATGGACAATAGATTATCTCACCAACAAACCACAGTATGTGAGGCTCCAACACTGTGTGTCTGATGTTGTGCTCTGCAACACAGGTGCCCCTCAGGGTAAGGTGCTCTCTCCCTTCCCTTTACACCTCAGACTTTACACACAATTCCACATTCTGCCATATCCAGAAGTTCTCAGATGACACAGCCATTGTTGGATGCGTTTCTGAGGGGAACAAACTGGAATACAGGACTGTTGTCAGGGACTTTATCATCTGGTGTGAGCTCAACCAGCTTCAGCTAAACACTAGCAAGACGAAGGAGATGATCGTTAACTTCAGGAGGAAAACATCCCACTTCACCCCGGTGAACATCCAGGGATTGGACATTGAGGTGTTAGATAATTATAAATTCCTGGGTGTTCACATCAATAAAAAACTGGACTGGACTGACAACACCCATGCTCTCTACAAGAAGGGCCAGATTCGCCTCCACCTGCTGAGGAGACTGAGGTCCTTCGGAGTAAGCAGGGCTCTCCTCAAGACTTTTTATGACTCTGTGGTTGCTTCAGCCATCTTCTATGCTGTGGTCTGCTGGAGAGGGGGCAGTACAGACAGGGACAGGAAGAGACTCAATAAACTGATCAGGAGAGCAAGCTCTGTCCTGGACTGTCCTCTGGACTCCATTGAGGAAGTGGGTGAAAGGAGGATGTTAGTGAAGCTGACATCCATCATGGACAACACCTCTCACCCTCTACATGACACTGTGGGGTCCCTGAGTAGCTCCTTCAGCAGCAGACTGTTACACCCACGTTGTAGTTTCTGTTTTTCAAATACCAATATACCATAGCTTTACCACTTAACCATAGTTTTTTTTTATATATCTGTATTTATTTATTTCACGTAATTGCTGCTGACAAGGGAATTTCCCCGTTGTGGGATTAATAAAGTAAAGTAATACAAACAATCAATAAATCAAATGCTCTGCCAAAAAAAATTGTCACAAGCCTGTATTATACCTGATGCCTACTTTTTTCCACACAAAAAAATTGTTAAGGATTCAACAAGGGAATCGACAAAAAATCTGACCAATAAGCAGGATCAATAATGTAACTGGTAATAATAAAATGTTGTCCCTAGTTATTATGCCAGACTTACAGAACAAGTCATGGAAGTCACATAGCTTGCTTGACCTGCTGTCTGAGTAGTTGGAATAAAACTGAATATGAAATATCACAACATCATTTGGGAGATTTCAGTAAGTAAGTAAGTAAGTTTTGGAAAGGCAGCACGTATTAATGTGTGGATCATGGTTACAACTGCATAAACTGGATAAATCCTGAACTTCATCAGAGCTGCAGTGACATTACTGTATGCCTGGAAATGTTTAAAACCAATGGAAAGCAGCCTCTGTAATCATTATAGAAATCACCTGGAAAGCTTACACTGCTTGACATAATTCAAAAGGCTATAGGGACCATAGCTTGTTAAGGTGGATAATTTTATAGTACATTTTCATTTTCTAAAGGTATTTGGGGCGGCTGCAGCTCAGGACGTAGAGTGGGTAGTCCACTAATCAGAAGGTGGGCGGTTCCTCCCGGTGCATGTCAAAATGTTGAGCAAGATACTGAACCCTAAATTGCTCCTGATGCTGTGTCATCGGCGTCTAAATTAATTTGTTTCTGATGAGAAGTTGGCAACCTGCCATCAGTGTATGAATGTGACCTGAGTGTAAAGCTTTGAGTGGTTGGAAGACTAGAAATGCACTTTACAAGTGCAGTCCATTTACTGTATGTGATACTGATGCCTTGAATGTACACTGTTCACTGTTAATGATTTGAAACATATTCATACTCGCATTTTATGAGACTAAATACATAAGCTATTTATGTATATGTAAGGATGTGCATTTGCATACATAGAGCTAAGAG